TTATTATTATTATTATTACTGGTGCTTATTTAGCTTTTCAGCTCTGGACCAGTCTCACGGACAAACCTTGAAAGCTGAGGCCGGGCTCCTGCCATGATTTTCTTTGGCCTTTTCCCCAAGCCTTGGGTGGATTAGGCCAGGTCATTATAGCTAATGACCTTGGGGGACTCAGGGTTTAATATGACAAAGTTCTTATCAAATGAGAGAGAAACCTTAAAAAATTCTAATGCCCAATCAGATCAAAATTTCTTGGAGTCTAGGCATTAATATTTTTCAAAACTCCTTAGGAGGTTCCAATGAGTAGCCAAGGTTTGGAACCATGACTGTAAGCTCATTTTTCATGCCCAGGACAGAACTTCAGTGACTAGAAACCAGGGTTAGGAGTCAGACATCACATCATAGATGGAGTATCCCATAGAAATACGTGTCAACTTGGTGGAGACGTGATTCTCAGTAGTCTGATGATTCATCATTATGAAAGGATATAGTTATTCTCTATAATGAGATCTGATCTGGTTAGATAACCAAACTACGGAGTTAGGGTAGGATGCAACATACTTCCTCAGATAACAATCTTTATCTGACATAAAGGGGGTTTTCCTAGGGTATGGCCTGCATCCCTTGATATCTTATAAGAGATAAGAGAGAGATGCGAGCACAGAAGGAAAGACTTCATTACCTCTAAATCCAGGGCTCCTGAGATGAAAACCTCCTAGACCCAGGGGAAAAATGATGTCATGACACAAGGATATTTCCAAGGGATACCAGTCTCTCAGATACTGAAAGGAGGTAAGGACCTCCCTGTAGACCAATAGAGAGAAAAAGAAATCCTTCTTTAGACCTGATGCCTTGAATTCAGCCTTCTGGTAGCCTAGTGGCAAGAAGCTGTGCTGCAATCCCAAAGGCATGTGGTTTGAATCCACTAGCTGCTCCATGGGACAAGAATTGGCAGTCTCCTCTCATGTGATTAACTTCCTCTGAAAACCCACTGGAGGGTCAGCTATGGGTCAGTTCTGACTCTGCAGTACACAGCAACAACAGTTTCCTAAACAGGGACCTCTGGTGGCTTGATGAGAAATTATGCTTCTAATTCAAAGACTGCTCCACAGGAGAAAGATGGAAAATCTTCACCTGTGTGATTTACATTCTCTGAAAACCAAGGTTCGGCTATAATCAGTTATGACTCAATGGCACACAGCAGGAGCAGACTTCTAAACAGTGATAGAATACATTTCTCTGTGTTAAAGTCATCCATTCTTGCTATTTCTGTTATAGAAGCACTAGATAACTAAGACAGGTGGCCTGGCTCTTAACTTAATTGAACTACAGCCATGGCCAAGTTTCCTAAGACTTTAGCTTTCTCATTTGTATAGTGAAAGAAGTCTTCAGCATTTAGTTTGAGTTTGAGAAATGACATTAACTGAAATAAGAGCTGGATCCTTAAAAATATTATTAGTATTATTATGCTGCTGCTGATGCAACTTTAGTGACCTAGTGGTGAGGAGCTGCACTGACAACCTGCAGTCATGTGGTTTGAATCTACCAGCTGCTTCAGGACAGAAAGATGAGCAATCCTCTCTAGAGCAACTTATAGCTTCTAAAAACCCATTGGAATATCAGTTTTGAATCAATTCTAATTTGATTGGTACCTAACAACAACACTATGATGATTACTCTAGGTAGCTAAAATCGCCTCACTGAATATGTTCAAAGAGGTGTTAACAATAAACACAGATACACATAGACACGCATTCATGCTTTAAAATATTTTCCCCCAAACTTCTTGAATCCTGTTATAAGATTTTAGGATTAGTTTTCCTCCTACCTTAGACCACCAGTGCCAACCCTTTCCTTAAAATTGTAATGATTGTGAGATTGACACTCGTTTGCACACAAGAGATTCTTTGTGTCCATCCTGGGTTTCCCAAGGTTTAATGTGCAGGGCACTGTAGCTACTGCTGGGCCGTGCAGGTAGGGCTTTGTCATTTGGAATCATCAAATCCTTAGGTCAGGAAAAGGGGGTGGGTTCTCATTCATTTGCCCAGGAAAAGCTGCACACCCTGATTAAAATGTTATGTTTCCTTGCTTTGGGCTAAAATTATCTTACCTCATGCTGATTATGCGCCCCAGCAGCTGAATGCCTTTGATTAATTAAAATGCAAAAATGAACCAATATTTAATTATTAGATGCTTTTATTCCCCTAAATATATCTTTCAAATATGAAATTTCTAGATGAAAAAGTCCTGACAATTCAAAAGATCCCTGTAATAGTATGGTCAGGGACCCCTAGACAGGATGAGCTTAATCAGAGGGTGGTGATAGTACTGCTTTAGCCGATGCAAACTCAGGGCTTGTATTTTGTGGGATGAGTTGTATTCCTTTGTATTCAGGCCATGAGTGGCAGAAGGCTATAATCGTGGAACCTGCCTGAAATCTTGTTAGGTGTCATTCAATCCACTATAACTCAAAGCAACCCTGTAGATCTGAACCTCTCTATTAGCTAGAGATCTGAACCTTGCCCTGTCATGCACCATTTTCACTGTTATGGGAACCATGTTAATCCATTTGTTAAGGGTTTTCCTCTCTTCCTCTGGCTCTCTACCTTTCCCAGCATGATGTCTTTTTTCCCCCCACAGACTAGTCCCTCTTGACAATATGCCCCAAAGATTCACCTTCTTGCCTCTAAGGAGCACTCTGGTTATACTTTCTCCAAGACAGGCTTGATTGTCCTTTCGGCAGTTCATGGAATATTCAGTTCTCTTCTCCAACATCACAGCTCAAAGGCATCGATTTTTCTGTCGCTCTTATTCATTGCATAACTTTCAGAGCATAGGAAGTAATTGAAAAGCCATGGCTTGGATCAGATGCATCTTTGTCTTTGAATCTTTGAACTGACCTTGTTGCTCGTTAGTATTTTGAAGAGGTCCTTGACAGCACATTTTCCCAATGCAATATGTCTTCTGATTTCTCAACTGCTGCTACCATCGGTGTTGAGCATGAATCCAAGGAAAATTGAATCATTGGCAACTTTAATTCTTTCTCCATCTTTCATGATGTTGCCTGTTGGTCCAAATGATGAGGATTTTTACTTTCTTGATGTTGCAATGTAAACTATATTAAAGACTGTCATCTTTTATCTTCTTCAGGAAGTGTTTCAAGTCCTCTTCATTTTCTGCAAGCCATGTTGTTGATGAATCCTGATGCATAAGAAGCATTAAAAAACAAGGAACTCATGCAATATTATTCAAAATGGTTGACTCTGGAGAACATTATGCTGAGTGAAATATCCCAGTCACAAAAGGACAAATATTACATGATGCCACTGTTGTAGAATGGGACTGTCCTTGGGGTTGGGGAGAGACTGAGTAAGATGGGTTCAATAATGTATACTGCACTGAAACAGAGGAGGGAGAAAACTGTTTAAAAGAGATATATGACTAGGTATTTCTGTCATCACAGGAGTCTAGAGCGAGGGCTACATGGTGGAGGGGACCTGGGGGAGGGTTTGTAAAACAATTAAAGAATCCTTTCTTTTACTTTTCCATAATTTTTGACTCATGTACTTATAACTTGTCTTCTAGGTTGCAACACCCCCATGATACATCTTCAAGGATATGAACATGTACGGCCAAGCACAATCAATAAGAGTGCATCTAAATTCCAAAATCAATCTCCATAATAGTCTATGTGTTTCCTACTGCCAAAGGGGCCCTTTAGAGTAGTGAGAGAAGATCTTCACCCTGAAACCCACAGCGTCCCTTTTCAGCAGGAAGTAGCTAAGAGAATACGCCATCCCCTTTTCCTTATGACTCAGGGTGAAGTCTCTCTCAGGGAGGAGTGATAGGGAATGGCAAAGGACACACTGACAAAGAAGATTAATCAGAACTGGCTTTGACAAGCACTGTGGCATTTGGACAAGAACAAACTGGGAGGAGGGTAGAGAGAATAGTGCAACAATGAATGAATGGAAACCCAAAATCTCTGTAAATGTTTATGAAAATTAATAAAATTAGAGAAAAAAAAAAGAAGAAGCAATTGAAAATTCCATGGTTTGGATTAGGCATACCTCAATCTTCAAACTGACAGCCTTGTTCTTTAGCACTTTGGAGAAATCTCTGACTACAGATTTCCCCTGTTCAACATATCTTTTGATTTCTGAACTTCTGTTACCCTGGGTGTTTATTATGGACTCAAGGCAATTAAAACAGTTGACAATGCCAATCTTTTCTCCATCTGTCATCATGTTGCCTGTTGGTCCAGTGGAGAGAATTTTTGTTTTCTTGGTATTGAACTATAATTCAAAGACTATAGTCTT